AGTGAAGTACTGCTGCTAGCAGTGTTTAAAGCATTGTCAATTGAAAATTCAGGCTAATGAAGGCATAAAATATTGAAAAAATGCACATTTTTGTAATAAAGTTACATTTGCCTCGAAAAGGTTCTAAATGATTTTTGGAAAAGCCGAAAACAACAATTCGTCTTGGTGTGTTTGCTTTATTCGCAGTGTGGATGACTGCAAATAAACTCAACTCACAGAAGCAAAGCCAACTATGTGTGGACCAGTTCCATTCCTTGCATCAGCAATAGTATTGAGGATATTCTTTAGCCAGACTCCAGACATTAGATCTCTACATGGTTCATAGTCAGCACAAGCTATTTGGTGGATTTCAGCTAAAAATAACTCAGTTTGCACATGGTTCTTAGAACGATTTGGGGATAAATTTTTTACCAAATTCTAACGCTTCTTTCACAAGTCGTTCTTCGTCGTAACCTTCTAGCGTAGGATGAGATACCCATTTAGGGTATGAGGCGTTGTAAAGATCCTGAAACACCCTTTCAATGTTTTCAAGATGAAACTCCGTTTCAGATCTCAAGAACTTTACAATTTCGATGAGATTGTCAGCAAAGTCAGCGGCTCTAGCTAGTGAGGACATATTCCAATGAGTTTCTTGACCAATGTAATTCAGTAAAGCAGTGTTATTCTTCTTTTTCTCGGCAAGTGCGGGTAAGGTATCGTCATCAATAGGTTTCCAAACTAAATGGGAGTTTGAGAAATGCCAAATTTCATAGGAAAATTAAATCTCAAACCTTTATCATTATTCCTGCATTCTTTTACAGCGTACATTCTAAGCATGGGATCATCGATAGTGTACGGCACCGGACTCCACGGCAAACCGCCGGAAGTATCCCACTCTGCCCAACCTACGGGTTTGTAAAGCCCTGCCAGTGCGACCTGTTGGTGATGACTGCGTTCCAAAAATTTTGAGAACAGTTAGCTCTACCCACCTGTAAGGTCATTTGACATCTATTAGCTGAGCTTGAGAAATACTTTGAATCTGAGCGATTATAGTTTTCTGAGACAAGGTCTCCCACGAATTTTCGCATTTCTTTGCCCAAGCCAAAAGCCTGTCGTTTGCCAATCTGAAAACATTCGAAATTGATGACAGTTGAAGGAAATTGTCAAAATAGTTAGGAGCAAACCGATGTTAACTCGGTATCGCCTTCAAAACCCCAAGTTCGTGGATTCTCATTGAGGAACACTTCTGGATTGCGATTTCCATGTCTAGAAAGACCAGGAGTTGATTTTGCCGGAATGACTTTTTCAACCAAGGGCTAAGTTACGGAAGAAGCATCCTGCTACATATCAATAAAGTATTGACTTCTCTTCTCTTCGCCAAATAGCCTCTTCACCAGGTTATTAAAGACATCTACTTTAAACTATTTGTTCCACATAAGAAGCCTTTTTACATTCTAACTCGTGCATTGATTTTAAAACAGTAGTACAAAAATACCAATAAATGCACCTTACCGCGTTCCAAACATCACTAGCACTGTATGCGGATCAATTGTAACTGACTCGGAAGGGAGTTCCGCGGTTGCAGCTGTAGCCACAAAGAAGAGCCATACTATCCGCATTTAGATGGTAGTATCTGGATGGCAAAACATTTAAGCAAAGGTCGCTATGGCTTTATTGAACGATTATGAGAAGGGATGGCTGGATTTAGTAAAGTAAAGTCACTTTTCACTATTTAAGAAGTAGGTTATTGTTTTCGTTTTTCCTTGAATCCTTTTCAAATATTACTACGTCATCGGCAAATTTACTGTAAACACAATTTTCGTTCCCAGGTATCGACAAGATGGCTTCAAAAGTTATTAATACTTAACGCTTTTCCACATACACAGACTTTAGATATAAGACGTTATTCGTCCGGCAATATGAATATTTCTTAAAGAATGTACTTTTAACCTTATTTCTACTTGCAAGACAGGAACGAATAGATAGATGAGTAAGTATTTATTTCATATTTCCATCATTAGTCCTGAAATTTTGCACTTTTGACTCAAAATTAAAAATTAAATTCAGAGGCGGCGACGTGGTCCGAAAAATGTAACTAGCGAGATGAACTCTTTTAAAGCTAAGTTTTGCGCATGAGAACAAATTGACGATAGAAAATTCATAGATGAAACTTAT